GAAAAGGCCTATTCCTGCAGGTGGAGAGAATCAGGGAAGACTTCCTGTAGGAGACACTGTCATATCTGGACCTTGAAGGGTAGATGTAGGATCCAAACATGCTGCAATGGGGAGAGATAAAAAGGATAGCGGAAAAACCTAAGAGTTCCTGAGTGTCTGCAGACAGGACTCAGCCCAGGTCACCATTTTCTGCCTCCAGGATACTTGTATCACATTTATCCGACGCTAAGTGAGACTGTTAAGTGTGCTCTCTCTCTCTCTCTCTCTCTCTCTCTGCCTGAACAGTTGGTAAATAAACATCTTAGTGCCTTTTCAAGAACTACTACTCTAAAATGTCTCTGTTTGAAACAATTACTGTGCCTATCACATACCCTGAGATAAATTAACCCGTGAACACGTGCCAACTCCTAATATCCTTTTAAAAAGCAGGCACTGAAGTTGTGGGGGTGTTTCTTTGCTATAGAAAGACAAAAGGGCACTCTGGAGAAGCATTTCTGTCAGCTCAGAATGTGAGGAATCATAGATGCTATTTATAAACGACCTCCATTGTCTCTTACCACTCCTTGCAAAAACTCTGGGGCGTCACTGTTGTTATCACCACAAGGCAGATGAAGAAACTGAGGCTCAGAGTGGTTCCCTGATTGTTCAAGGTCTGGGCAGTCTGGTAGAAGTAACAATAGAACTGTGATCTAGGTCTGACACCAACGCCCACATTATTTTCCTATTTTTTGTTTGTTTGTATGTGCTAGACAGAGAAGGGCCCCATTCTAGACTCTCCTCTGTCTCTAGGTCTCAGTTCCTTTAATCTATAGCTCTGTGTATCCTGGTCATTAGCACTCTTTGGGGCACTCTTCAGGCTACCTTTGACCTGGCAGCCTGGTGCTCTCAGCTCTCACCGGGCAGCAAATCTGCAAGATAGCAAATACAGAACTGCCTCAAGGGCCTCCTGGCCAGTCAGGGATAGCTACCACTTCCTGTCCCTAGCAAGGCCCTGATGTCCATGCATGGAACTGAGTTTCTGCAGACAGGCAGATATGCCTTTGGATCCTGGCTCTCTTGAAGCCTGGCCAAGGGCTTGTCCCAGCACATGATCGAGGTGAGAGCCCTTCCATCCTCTGAAGAACAGGGTTTAGTGAGACAGATGGGCAGGGCTTGGGGCCACATGGTCGTGGATTCAAACCGTCACCCTGCAACATCCTGCCTATGGGAGCTAGACAAGCCCTCACACCTCAGTCTCAATGTCTACATAGACTCAACACAGCCACATGTATCTTGCAGGGCTTTCTGCAAGCATTAGATGAGCCTGGCCTGTAATAGCTACCAACCGGTAACTCCCGTCAACTTCTGCCCACTTCTCAACTGGTTCAGGTGTGCCTCATTCACCTTTGTGTCTGCAACAGCAAACATATGGTGCAGCACACTGAACGAGCTCATAAAACAGGATGGCTCTTGAACTCCATCTTCCTCCTGTCTCAAAGCCCAGGGTGGGGATTGGCCAACTGTGGCCCTCAGGACAAATCTAGCCCGCTATTTGATTTTTTAAAATATTTTTTTAATTGAAATACATCCATACTCATTCACTTGCACATCATCTATGGCTGCTTTCCTGTTACAAAAGCAGAGTAGATGCAACAAAGACCATATGCCCACAAAGCCAAAAATATTTACTACTAACTCCTTATGGAAAAAAATTTGTGGACTGCTGATTTTGTGCATAGGATCTTTCAGTGGGAGGAGAGCCCTTGAGGGCCTCTTTGTTTTGAGGAAAAATAAATTCCTCTGCTCCTTCTCTACTCACACTTTAGATCCTCTTTCCTGGTTTATCTTTTTTCCCCTCAGTTCTCTTGACCATTCCCTAACATTTATGCTACCTTTCTTATCATGTTATTTATCCTCAATCTCCTCTACTAAAAAGCTTCACGTGGGCAGGGAGTTTCATTTATTGCGCTCTTATACGCCAGTTAGGACCAGTGCCTGGCACAAAAGTGGGAACCCCACATTTACCTGTTGAATGGATAAATGTGGATTTCACTGAAATAATTATTCAGCGAAAGTGTGTTGGAGGATTTCTCTTTCATAGAAGATTCTAGGGCTTAGAGAGGAACCAGGTGGCTCCCCAACCCCTGGGGGAGGGTATTGCTTTTCCTTTTTATAGACAAGACAACTGAGACTCTGGCTAAGTCAGAAAGTCTGGAAAGTCTCAAAGTTTCATGTGCCCGCGAGTCACCTGGGGCTCTTGACTACATTGCATCTACAATGCAGGTTCTGATTCAAGAGGTGCAACTTGGGACCCTTGTGCTGCGGTTCTAGCAAGCTCCAGGTAATGGCCAATGCTGCTGGTCTATGGACTACCCTTGGAGGAGAGGGGGTTGAAGGCACACACTCAGAGTTAATACCTAAGACTCGGGGGAATCTGGAAATGACGGTGGTCAGCATTTCCCTTCTGTTTCTTTTTCTCCCATCTACATGCATCTTGCCTCTTATAGAACCATGCAATGGTCTCACAGAACCTGCCGAGCCTCCCCTCCAGGGCTGCTCCCTATCCCCAAACACTCTGCCCCTGGACTTTCCCTTCCACAGCCACCAGCATCTTCTGGCTTCTTCCTTCCTTTACTATACAAGTGCCCAGGACTTTTGGATCCTTCAAGGAGCCACTCTCATGCTCTCCTCTGTTCTAGGGCCCAGGGGTTAAAGAGAAGTATCCTCCTCCTCACAGGCCCTAGGCTACCTTCCTCCCCTCAACCCACCTGCACAATGACTTCTGATGGTTAGATGGCAGGCCGGTGCCCATGCTCTCCACTCCCATCTCTCTGCAGCACCTCCACTGTCAAGTCTGCCTTCTGCAATGGCTTCTCCTCTTGGTTCTTAAGGTTCTCCTTCTACCTCTCTATCTGCTATGCCAGTTCTTCTCCTCTGAATCATTCACCATGGTCAGTTTCCAAGCTGGCATCACTTTCACAATCTAAGATCTGTGACTTAGAACTCTTAGGTTTGCACAACCCAAAGACTTCGGTTTATCACCTTGAACTACAAGCACTTGAGTGTCTGTCTCCTACACTTTCATCACATTCTTCATCTTTGATTCCACCACAGTACTCAGCACAGTGGGCATCCAAAGATAGTGCTAATAAGCACACTGGCTAACTGATGCAGGAGGCGAGGTGCCCAGAGGCTGTAATGGATCATTGTATGCCCAGACCTATTGTGGAACTATGATGCCAGAAGAACCTCTGGAAGACCAGAGATGCTTCTAGGGGCCAATACTACTGTTCTGACTTCTTATGGTTTCCTGAAGGGGGAAAGAGAGAAAAGTAACCATTGAGTGCCAACTTTGTGCCAGGCACTTTACAAAATCCCTCATTCCCTGAGTTAGGCACTATTACCCCTATTTTGGGGTTAAGAGAAATAAGGCTCAAGGAGTTCAGAAGATTTTCTAAAGGCTTCATAGCTGATGAGTGACAAACACGTGACTTGCACCCAGAGCTTCACGACTCCTAAAACTCATTCTCCTTCTACCACAGCAACAAAACCCCATATTGTTGTAACCTCTATGCCTTTGCAGATGCTGTTCCCTCTGCTTAGAATTCTTATTTCTTCAGCAGTGGGTAAATCCATTTCTATAAACACTGATAACTATCCCCTGCCCCATTAAAAACTAGTCACCCAAGCAAATTCTCCTATGCCACAGTATACATAGGCACCCTCAGCTGACATTTTCAAGTATTTGGTTTTATGCTAGTTCTCAAAGGAGCTTGAACTCCAGGAGGGTGGGGCTCAAAGTCCTGGCCATCTCTCTATCCATAGTGTCTGGAACATAATGACCATGTTTAATGCATGTTTATCAAATGAATGGATGAATGAACAAATGAAGCAAGTTCTCTGGTACTTTCAGTGTTGGTGGTGGGAGTCCATTGGTTCCTATATAATATAATGGCAGTAGTATCAGAATCTTATCTGCTTATTGCATGGCCTATTGAGTAGGACCCAAACACTGAACAGAGGGAGTGGGATAGCCTTTGGCTGGTCCATCCTCACCAGTGAAGGCTTCAGCAGATGCCACTAGCAGACATGGCTTCCCTCATAAGGCTGGGTGTGCCAAGAGTGAAGCAAGACATGGAATGATGGACAATACACTTTTACCAGAAGCCAGATGTCCTGGGTTTTAATCCCACTGGATGTGTGATTTCACATACTTCTCTGGACATCAATTTTCAAATATGGGGAATGCATATTATGGATATGGAGCTACTTCAGTGGTTTTCTTAACTTTTCATTACCAAAGATCTGTTTATGGAGTTTTATCTCCTTTACCTTTGTGTTTTCAAAATTTCTGGTTTAATTATGAGAAAAATCATCCCCTTTATTTAGAAAGTGCAAAAAAATTAACAGGCAACAGGCCAGCTATAACTACCAACAAAATGCTTTGACAACATGAGATAACTAATGCCAAACCCCACACTGTGATCATTCCAGTGCAAAGCAAAGACCTTGGATGTTTCTTTTACCTGTTAAGCTGGTTCTAGGTAAAGTCATGGTTCCCTGTAGACTTACTGAAACAGTGGAAACAACCAATGAATTTCTTTCTAATCTTTGAGTCCCTCGAGGCTACACATTTCCCAAGTAGATACCAATGGGCTCTGATGTTGCTGAGAATGGTGATTCTGTTTTATGTTTGCAAGTCCTGCAGGGGGATTAAGCTGACCTCTTACTGAAATCTGGGGATTTCTAATAAGAAAATTACACTGCCAAAGGAGAAATAGCCCTTCACATCTCCAAAAGTAGGGGGGAGGAATCCAAGATGGCAGAAACATAACAGATGTAAACAATGGTAGCACATTTTCAAATGGAAAACATCTATGTGAAATAAAAACTTTGGGGCTACAGATGACTTAGACAGAAGTGAGTATGAGAAACCAACAGACACTTGGTTGGTGCAGGAAATGCATGCTACAGGTTCCCTCACAGGGCACGAAGCAAAGTTTCCCCGGGTCGATACTTACAAGTAATAGGAGTAGGAATAAGCATTTCTTCTATATATTGATGGGCAGTCAGATGAAGGAAATGTCCAAAAAGGGGGAAAAAGAAAAGACAAACAAACAAGAATTAGATTTATATGAAATCTTGATTCTTAGAAATGCATATAGTATTTCAGCATCCCAAAGCTCAAGGAGATGCAAGTTTCTCTACTAATTATCTTTGCTGAGAATCAGATACTTCCAGTGGTAGAAGGAGTGAGAGAGACCTCTCTTATGATGGAGAAATTCACTACTCAGGCAGAGAAAGCCATGTCTAATGTTGGCTGGTTTAGTTGTTTGAAAGTTCTTTTTTTTTTTTTTTTTTTTTTACAGTCAACTAAAGCTAGGTTCCTTATGCCTTTTTTTGGTCCTGGGTCAGACTTTTGTGGACTTCTAGAACTATTCAACCACTCTTCATGATAGTGCTCTTATGACCTAAGTAAAACCATAATGACTTCTGTGTTCTCTGTTTCAGGTCAAAACACATCAGAACCTATTTAGTAAGGTCATACCAAAAGTAAGGTAATTGGTAGCTAAGCAATCAAGATGGCTCCCCTATGACCCACACTTCCCAGTACACATGTGTATATGTAGTGCCTTCCCACACTGAACCAGGACTGATCCTATGTGACCAGCAGGTTGTGGTAGGAATGACATTCTGAGACTTTCTAGGATATGTCAGAAAGAAGATGTGTAGCTCTTGCTGGGTTTTCAGAACTCTCAGTTGGAACCCTAACTGTCTATGAAAGAAGTCCAAGTATCCTGAAGTTGCCATCCTGAAAAGACCAAGTAGAGAGACACAAATCCTGCATAAAGAGACATCCAGTCAGCCTCTGCCAGTTGGATTATGTCAATGGGGATCCTTGGTATCATGGAACAAAACAAGTCATTCCCTTCAAGCCCTGACCAAAGCACAGATAAGTAAGAAAAGTAAATCACCAAATTTCATATTTGTTATATATCAGTAATCAGAAAAAATTCAAACTTCATCATTAAAGAGAACTGTACTAAGAGAAAGGAATTCTGACCTTCAATTTGAACAGACTACAACTTGAATAAATTCTCTCTGCCTTTATTTCCTTTCTGATACTCATATGAGTTGAACTAGATGATTAGTTTTCAAACTGTGCTTGTAGGATCCTGAGGGTTCTGCAAGGTAGCCTCACTGAAGTGGGAGAGTGGGAAACTGAGTAGGTAGGACTGCTGGTCACCCACCATCCACAAAAGACAGCATTTCTCCATTAAAAAAAAAGATTTATTTCTTCATGAGAGACACACAGAGAAAGGCAGAGACATAGACAGAGGGAGAGGCATTCTCCCTGCAGGAGCTTGATGCTGAACTCAATCCCAGGACTCTGGGATCATGATCTGAGCCAAAGGAAAATGCTCAACCACTGAGCCACCCAGGCACTCCTTCCATTTTTTTATATTTTATAATTTGAAATTTCACATGACTAAGAATCCCATTCTCCAAAAGAAAGCTTGAAAAATCACTACCTGAATTCTCTTCCCACAATGTACTGTCTAGCTCTTGGCTTCTGAACAATAAAAAACTCAAATAAGTCCACAACATTCCTTTTGTTATAACTTTTTTTGTATTTTATAGGGAAATAAATAAGAATGCTTTTATCTTACAGACTTAGTCACACTGACAATAACTGATACATTTGTGGATTGAGAAAAAATTGCTGATAATTAAGGTACCCAAATATCTATCTGAATAGGCAAGAATAGTTCTCTTGCCTCTTGAGTTGTTTGGTTATTTGCAACTGTTATCCCAGTTTGCTTGGCTCAGGAAGATGCAGTCTTTATATCTGCAGTGTGGGAACATGTCCTTAGAGCCTCAAATTTCTCCCTTTCAAGTAGGAAGTAGCCAAAGTCCCCTAGGCAGGGCCACCTCTAGGCTTTCTCTTATTCATCAGAAAAGCCCAACTCTAGCTCCAGAAGAAGGTAATGCTGAGAGCTAAGAAGTCATGGCAGGAAGGAAGCCCCATGACTCCTTGGGAAGATGAGATGGGGAAAATGAGCCACAATGCAGCAAAATCTGGTCACTGATAAAACTGTTCAACATCTTGGGTCAAAGGAACAGTGACCCTGGATGATAAAAGGGGTGAGGAATGCCATGCTTTGATGGGTGGGAGTTGGAAGAGCCTATGCAGTTCACCAAATCCCCTTCACCAACCATACAGATTCACGCTGTAAGGAGACAGTTCTTCTCCGTCAGGGCTGGTTCTGTGGCCCAGTGCCTAGAAGTGGGATTCCTTGGGGGAAGAAAGCTAGGGTTCCATTTTATGAAGACTTAAAGATACCTATGTTCTCCATATTGTCAAGAACAGTGGGCTGAGATTCAAGAGGGCATGGTTCTGATCCCAGCTTTCAGTTGCTCACTGTGACATCTTGGACGTTAGTTCCTTCCTCTGGACCTGTTTCCTGATCCATGTACCAAGGTGAATGGCATGTATGACTGCCAGCCTCAATGGCTTTGAGGAGTGGAAATATGATGTCTTAGCATTCTAGCACCACTGCTTGCTAACTGCATGGCTTTGGGTAAGTCACTGAGTATCTCTGAGTCTCAGTCTCTCCACGTCAAGGTTGGAGGCAATAGTATTCCCAAGAGTCACTGTGGCCATTAACGTTAGATTAATCTAAATCATGCAAATTATATATGACATAGAATATATAAAGTATTTTAAGTAAATCATATAAATCTAATCTATTAGGGAGAAATTTGAGGCTATAATCTATTAATCTAAACATCTGACATTAGTAGTGCTCAAAAATCTTGAGCAGGAAGACAGCTGTGCTTAGAAAAAACCAAAAAACTCCAAACTTAATAAATCACATATTGCAGAATCTTCTTCTCAGCTGGCTGACAAGGCTGACTTGAGGCACAGCTTTCCTTTGTTCCATACTTATTTAAACAGGACTAAGTCATCTACTTAAGATCTATTTGACCATCTACCCATCGATCTATCCATTTGACCATCTACCCATCCATCTAACTCAATAAAGGGGAGTTTATGTCCCTGCCTTATCTACAGATACAAGGCTTGCTGCTTCTCACTCTGGTGACCAGGAACAAAGTGTTCACCTCTTTAGGAATGTTAAAAATAGTACTAAAATAAGAAAAAAAAAAGGACTTATGGAGCACTTACTATCTGTCATGTATTGTCCTAGGCTCTCATATATTAACTCAAGTATTCCTCACAACTACCCTGACAGATGTGTATTAATTATTATCATCCCCACTTTTCAGAGGAGGAAACTGTTGCAAAGAAGGTGATGTAATTTGTCTAAGATCATGCAGCTAGTAACTGGATTTGACAGCAACATGGATCTAAGGCTCATGTTGTAGACCACTAGCCTGTGCTCCCTATGAAGAAGGAAGAAAATAGATACATGAGAGCAACACAGTGGGACTGGCATTGAGATGACACGTGCCTTAAATCTTTTAATCCTCCCTACAACTCCATGGCACAGGTATTACTGTTATCACTTTTGGTTGAGGAATCTGAGGCTCTAAGGGGTCACTCCTACTAGGTCTATTGCCTTGCATAGTTTTGGACCATGTGCAAGGCCTCCACCCTGAGCCACATGTCCTTGCCATCAACAGCCCCAGGCTGTGCTCTTGGGGCCCAGGCTGCACTCAGTATTTTAGACCTTCTGGCTTTTCTGCTTTCAACCATCAGGATTCACCTTTGCCTGGGCCACCTACTCATAACAATATGCTTCCTTATCTTCAAACCACCTCTTCCAAGTAGTTTTTCTGAATTATCCTGGTTGTCACCAAAAGCCAGTGTCATTCTGACCCAGCTTCAAGGCAACTCCAGAAGAACAACAACTGACAAGCCTCTATTAATTGAGTATCTTTTCCCAATTATATTGCAAAGTCTTCCAGGGCAAGGATTACAGTTCTTTACTGTGTGGCCAAAACACAGTATACACGTGTGTTTTCTCTCAGGCTTAAAGAAGATTTACCGAAGGTCTAAATTTACAAGGATACAGTGATATTGCAAGTAACAGATTGCCTGAGACCAAAAATCTTGAGCAGGAAGACAGCTGTGCTTAGAAAAAACCAAAAAACTCCAAACTTAATAAATCACATATTGCAGAATCTTCTCAGCTGGCTGACAAGGCTGACTTGAGGCACAGCTTTCCTTTGTTCCATACTATTTAAACAGGACTAAGTGATCTACTTAAGATCCATTTGACCATCTACCCATTGATCTATCCATTTGACCATCTACCCATCCATCTAACTCATAAACCCACTCATCCACCCTTCTATACACCCAAGCGTCCATCTGTGCATGCATGCCTGCATCCAACCATCCATCCCTCCATCCATCTAACCATCCATCCACCTACCCACTTAGCAATTTATCCACACAGTTATCCATCTATCCTATAAACCCACCCACTCATCTACTCATCCATCCACTCAACTACCCTTTCATCCAACAATCCATTCATTATCCACTCATCCATCTTTCCATCATCAATTCAATGAACACTTCTCAAAGGCTTACCATATGCCTGTCCCTGCTGAGTTCCAGAGATAGAAAGACAAATAAGATCTTGATCCAACCCAAGTCTGATGGGAGAGCCAGATAAGAAACTTGTAAAACAGATAGTAATAAGAGCTACCACTTAGCAGGAGGTCACTTCTGTGCCAGGTACTGTGTTAGCACACCATGTAGACTATTTTACTTAATCCTCACTATGCAGAATTACTATCCCTGTTTTATGGATGAAGAAAGTGAAGCTCAGAGACGTTAGATAACTTACTCAAATTGATATAGTTGGTAAGTGGCATGGCAGGAATAAGAATGCAAGCAGTAGGACTCTAGAAGCCTGCATGAATAACCACTATGCTATACTGTCTTCTGGAGTGATAAGTCACATGAAGCAGCAACACAGGGAGCAGTAGGACCATATCCAGGGATAAGAGTGGGGAGCGGGACAGATAAGGTGGCCTAGAGCCTACGATGCTTGAGTTGTAAAGTCAAGGAGCA